GAGTTATTGATAATTCCAGTGACCCAGAATGGAATGAAACTTTCCACTTTAAAATTCACAATGCTGTCAAGGTAAAAGATGGTATTTCTTGAAACAGGATTGCTAATGTTGGGTAACATTCAACTTAGAAAGGATTAAATTGGCTTAATTTTCTGGGAACAAGTATACTTTATAGACCAGTGATGGCAAACCTTTTAGAGACTGAATGCCCGAACTGCAATCCAAAACCCACTTATTTATTGCAAAGTGTCACATCCCTCTGGCTTTCTAGTAGTGAACTTTGGTGAACTCTGTGCTAGGGCGACAGTGTGTGTGCCCACAGAGAGGGCTCTAAGTGCCATCACTGTTATAGGCAAATAAAAGCTAGCCTATTCCAGCCTTGGGGATTATTGCATAACGGCCACTCATCCATCCAAGGCCAAACTCTTCTCTCTTGTGGCTTTTTTTCCTTTTTCTTATTTCTCCTTCTTTTATTCGTACAGTCTCTTCTTGGCACTTGTCTCAGACCATTACTGATAAGAGGAGCTTTGACAGCCCTGTGCTATTTTCCCAAGGAAAGTAATTGCAATTTGTTGGATTTTTTGAAAATACCAAAATGAGAAGTTGCTCAATTTCCCCCCATCCCAATAAATTTTGAGGTTAAGATTCTGCAACTATACACTGTCATGGTGGAGTCAAATAACAAAGCAACCTGAACTCTTTGCAAGCATTCCAAACTTTTATTTTTTTACAGATAAGGGTTTTTACAGGAGTGGTGAATACAGATGATCAAATCAGTGTGTGGTTTAAAAAGTGTGTGCTTATAGTGTGGATGAAAAGTCAGCAATATATAAAGCTATGATTTGCTTTGTAGTATTTTATTTTGTTGACGCATCCCTAATTATTGATCAAGCAAAGTTTTTAATGTATTGTGGCAGTATTTTGTCACTACAATCTTTTTAATTATTTAGAGAAGATGTTTTAATATGATATCATAATCTTAAAAGTTTATCCTTGTTGATAACTATGATGTTTCAATGAGGTACAAAAACAAAACAAAGCAAAAACAATCACTTTTCCACCTGTCTTGAGAATTATTCTTAAAGAAAATCCCTTCCAGTTTTTAAAAAAGAGATTTCCTTGGTTTTTAAAGTTTCAGAGACCTCTGTTGCTATGCTGTTTTGCATATGATAGATACCGGTAGCTTAGGTGCTTTTTAGAGATTATCAATGTGTGCCATTTTTTTAAAAAAAAATCCTGATTGCAATGTATGCACACTGCAGTTGCAACATCCAAAAAAAGTAGAAATGAAAGCAATGTTTATCTTACACCTTTAAATCAAGATCAATCAGATATACAGTCACTCTCTCACTTTCCCATGTCACTGCACAAGCACAAATACAAAACATTACCTTTGTAGATATGATTACAGGGTGCAGGTGACTAAAGAAAAACTTCTCAAACAAAAAGCATGTAGATTTTAAAGTTTCTTCAAATATTTGACCTGCAAATATTTAAATATTTCAGAATCTAAAAGTAATGTTTTAAAAAGACACTTGCAATCTTAAAATCTGGAAATCACTTGCAAGGCAAGCAGGGAGGGAAGACAGCTGTTTCTTAAAAGACAGCTCTTCCTCATTTATAGTCATGAGAAATCTTAATTGGGTTATAGAGTGTTTCAGCAACTAGAATGTTGTGATTTTTTTAGTTATTAATTAGTTATTTATTCAGTGTTTTTGAAAGGGCTTGGCTTGGTTTAAAGGTGATAAATAAATACAGGCATAGGTGCTCTGCAGACAGGTGGCTCTGGGCTCCTCTGGGAAGTGTTGGATTGGGGCTGTGGCAACCCCATCCTCCCTTTTGCCGCCCTGAAAAGAGCGGCAAAATACTGCTCCTTTTAGGAACGGCAAAAGACCGCTCTAAGAGCCGGTGTGTGGCTCTTCAGTGCCCTTTTTGGCACAGCATGTCAGAATGCTGCACCGGAAGGGCATCCTGACGCCGTGTGCCATACGTAACAGCGCGTCACCCCAACTGCCTCCGGGCCAGCCCTTTGGGCCGGTCTGCAGAGGCCCATAGTCAGACATATATTTGATTACTAGCAGAGCAGGGATATAATAACAAAAATCCTCTTGGTGCACCACATTGGCAAAACTACACCAGTGTAGGAGGTGGAGGCAGGAGGAAAAAGGCAGCAGACACTGCAGCTGTGAGGAAAATATGGTATCAGAGAAACAGGCTGGTCAGAGCCAGCAGATTTTGTCTGTGGGCCGCTGCAGATGGTGCAAAGCGCTGTCTTGGAGGCAGGGAAGGGGAGGGGCAACCACACTCTGGCCGCCTCAATCCCTCCCTGAGGATGTCATCAGGGCCCGCTTGTTACACACGTGCTGCATTGGAAGAGCCACGCGTCGGCTCTTCTGGTGCCCTTTCCGCAGCTTGAGAAAGGAGTGCTATTTTGGCACTCCTTTCCCAGTCACTAAAAGAGTGGATTGGGGCCAAGACATGGGGCAGCCTCGGCCCCAATCCTCACCATCTTAGGGCGGCCCATGGCTGCCCGTCTGCATCCCCCCTGTGTGTACTTGCTTTATCAAATGACCCTGGAAAAAGTGCAGCTACTAGAATACTGTCCCAAAAGGATTCTGATCTGGATCTCTTCATTAAGAATGAAAAAGTTATGTTGATATTTAATAAAGCACACTGGTTTGGAAATAGGTGGAGGAGACTAGTAAGCCCAGTGCATCAGCACTAAACTTTATCTTTAATCTGAAAATTGTGGTGTTTGTACATTGACTATACATTTAACTGAGCCGAATTCTTTGCTTGCTGTTCAGGTCTTCTTTCTCTCCTCTTTCAGAATACTATGGAGTTGGCACTCTTTGATGAAGATGTTCTTATCAGTGATGAACTTGCATCTCTCATATTTGATGTGACAGGGCTTAAGGCAGGGCGTCCTTGGAAAGAGACGTTCAGACTGAAAGAGGTTAGTACTTTTGCTGTTCAGTACATTTAAAATCAGGTTCACATATGTGATATCCTTGAATCTGGCTTTACACCTGAATAGGGTAGGCTGTGGCCAGGAATAGTTTTTATCATTTACATCTGTTGGATGCTGTAAGATTTTTAGTTTATTTTATCGGTTACACTTACATCACATCTTTCCTTAAATGAGTTCAAGGAAGTGTACATATCTATTTTGGCTAGCTCTCTACCTTATTATACACAACAAAAATGTGAGATAGGTCAGTCTGAGAAACAGAGTAACTGGCCCAGGACCACCCAGTGGTATGAACCCGAATCTTCCAGATTCAAGTCCAGTATTCTAACTACGACACCACACTGCCTCTATAAGGTGGAATATAGGAGGCTGCAATTTACTAGCCAGCAACATATGACAGTTTACTTGGAAATTCCAGAGATTGAATTGAAGCCATTTTTATTGAAAGTATTTGCCTTCCTTAACTTTAGTCAAATTTTCAAATGTTTTTTATATGGTGCTGTTTTTAGATGTCGCACCTTTTGCAGAATGATGCCTTGTATACTGTTTAATGTACATCTTGGATGTAGGGTCTTTGCTGAAATATTCTTGCTGCCATTTTACTTCTGTATGGGGCATGATTCAGAGCTGTGGCTTCCTAGATTGGATCTATCCACATGTAATGTGGTGTCCTATTTCCTCTCCTGCTTTTAACTTGATCAAGTATAATCTTTTCCAATCAATCATGTCATCTTATGGAATGTCCAAAGCACAATAGTTTCACCATTCTGGTTTCTAGAGAGAATTCAAACTTGATTTACTTTCAGACCCACTTAGTTGTCTTTTTGACAGTCCATGGTATTTGTAGAACTTTCCTCCAGCACCATATTTCAGATGAGTTCTCTTTCTTCCTGTCAGCTTTCTTCACTGCCCACTTTTCACACCTATACACAGAAAATGGAAGTACTATGGCCTGGATGATTCCAGCATGGATCCATGCCTTTACAGAAATTGTGACTACTATTGATTGGATGATCATGACTTCGGCATTCAATGTTACTGTTTAACACCTGAGAATCTTTTCTAGTTCCTTCATGTTTGCCCTTCCAAATTTTAGTTGTCTTCTGATTTCTTGACTACAGTATAAATTTTGATTAACAGCTGACAATTTTGATGCCTTCCTAACTCACTTCAAAGTGGTGATTATTTTTTCTTACTATTCATCTGTACCCTTTCTTTTGCAAGTTCTTTCTTAACTTTCATGAGTTCCAAGTCTTTGCTGTTTACTGCTAGTAATATATCATCTGCATATCTTAAATTATTGTTGCTTCCTCCTCCAGTTTTCACAGCTCCTCCCCCCAAGTCTAGACCTCTTTTCTGTATGATATGCTCTGCATATAAATTGAACATGTAGGGTGATAAAATGCAGCCTAATCTTGAACCCTTTGCCAACTGGAAACCATTTTGTTTCTACATATTCTGTCCTGATAGGGCTGGCTGGCCAGAGTATAGGTTATGCATCAGGACTTTTAAATGTAGTGTCACTCTCATTTACAAGTAACTTTTATGAGCTCTGCTATGGATGCTTTAGCCTTGGGTGTGTGTGTGTGCTATTAACACATTCTGATTTCGAAAATAGAGGACAGAAATTTGTCTAAGATGTACATATGTTAATTTAAACTTATAGATGTAAATTTAGAAATAATTGTTGTAAATAAACAGAAATATAAATTTTATCATGGTGAGGATGACTATGAGGAGTTGATGGCTGACAGGCAACTGATGTCTCGTCTATCCTTTAGGCTAGACTAGAGCAACATTTAAACAGTATCACTTGTGTCTTGAGCTTCATCTTAATTTTATTCTTCTATTTTTTATTCTATTCTTTTATTCTTATATTCTTTTAGTCTTCTGCTCATATATGATATGTTAATATGATATTTATTTGTAGGACGAAGAAGAACTGGATGTAGAATTTTTTCTGAAGAAAAGGTGGGAACTGCTATATTTTCCAGTGTGACAAAGTTTGCAATCCTAAACACACAAGAGAGCCAGCATGGTGTAATGGTATGAGTGTTAGACTGTGACTCTGGAGAGCAGGGTTTGAATCCCTGCTCGGTCATGGAAACCCACTAGGTGACCTTGGGCAAGCCACACACTCTCAACCTTGGAGGAAGGCAAAGACAAATGCCCTCTAAACAAAGCTTGCTAAGAAAACCTCATGATAGGTTCACCTGAGGGTCACCGTAAGTTTGAAACATGTTGAAGGCACACAGCAACAACAAACACACAAACTAGGGTGTGAGCTCCATTGAACGGGACTTGCTTTTAAATAAATAAATACAGTATCAGATTTTTTTTAAGCTATTGTATCATAGTAATCCCACCTTTTTATTTTTATATAAAATAATTTATAAAGGTTTTAATATATATTGGATATATTATATGTATTTCCATAACAGAAAAATATATTTATGTTATTTAAAATATTTTTATATAAAATGTTTCAAATTACATTACATTTTTAAAATGTTTTAAAATTACAATAAGTCATAAAAATGTATTTTGCATGTATGAAAAACTGGATACACAAATTCCTAGTTATCATATTTTGTTTGGAGAACCCCCCCCCAAAAAAACCCCAACACCCCATCCAACACCCACAGCAAGCTAGAAGCATTTGTGGATTTTCTCTTGCGTACATTTATGCAACACTGATGGCATCACAAGTTAGATTAATGCTAAGTTGGGACAAAGTTGAAACTGGCTTCTGTTTCCTTACTTAAAATCTTAACTGCATGAAAGGTAGAAAACTGGGATGGATACTGTAAAGGCAAAAAGACTAAAGCAGTAATCAAAACTGAAAAAGGTGATATTTCACAGAGAGCTTTGCAGGATACTTCGTAGGGAAGCACCTCCAGGCCAAAAGTAAAAACAAAAACATGCAAATAAATAAAAACCATCTGGAAGTTTTTATTGCTACTGCAGGGCTGTGGGGCCACAGTATGTATAGATAGCAATAACCTTTTCTGCAGTGGTTTACCTCTAAATGGGATAATAGTAAAAAATAATAATAATGTTTATAAGTGTATGGATACAGACACTCAGACAAACAGTTTTGTCCCTGCTTACATAGGGTTACTGCACCAAAACAGAGTGGAAAGACAAACCTTATTGTCCAGTTCCTCCCTCCTGTATAGTTAAGGATCATATCATCTGCTTCCACATGTTTCCAGAGAGCCTTTGGATTGGAGCTCTTTTTTCCTCATGCAAAGTTTTATCTTGCCCTGTCCAATTTCTCTGATGATGCTTGGACTTCAACATCAAGAACAACATGGTTTACCTACTCATGAGCTAGACATTGAATTGCTGTGTTTGGGACAGAGTAATGTGTGTAGATTTTTATTTATGGCAATACTTTCTTTTTATAGTTCAGATGCTCCTGGTGAAGTTATCACAAATGGAGCGCTTGTGGTGAGTGTTTGCTTGCAAATAAAATGTAAGAGCCTTGCTGGATTAGGCCAAAGGTCTGTCAAGATCCATCTATTTTCCACAGTGTTCAAGCAGATGCTATGGCACCTCACAAACAGGACATTAGGATAATAGCAACCTTCAGTTATGTTCTGAGGATATTGATATTGTGATCTTGGTGGTGATGTTAGTAGTAATAATATCCATATAGATTTCCATCATGGCTAGTAGCCATTGATAGCTTTACCCTCCATGAATTTGTCTTATCTACCTTAAAGCTGTGCAGTTTGGTAACATATTCCATAGTTCAACTGTGTCTTACATGAATAAGTATTTCTTTTTAACATTCCTGAATCTTTGCATTTCAACAGTAATTAGTGTTACTGCTGTATGTGAGGGATTAAGATCACCCTGCCCAGTGAGGAACTCTGATGATTTCTATCAAATGCAGTTCCTCCTCCTGCCCCTTGCTGCTGAGTAAGACATATGTACTTTAGAAAATACAACAAATAAAAGGATTGTATCTTACTTCTGATAGCTACTGTGATTTTAAGATACAGGATGATTGTCAATTGTTGACAGTAGTTAGTTATGACAATACAGTTACTACCGGTAACAATAATTTTATGCCTGTCTTCTTTATTATTATTCTTTATAGTTACTGCTAATGAAGTGATGTGTTTATTATAACAGTGAATTCCAAAACATGAACATCTAAATTAATTTTCTACACACTCACTTCACTAAAATGTATCCATTCCAAGACGGACTATCCAAAAATAGCATTTGTTTTGTTAACTTCCATATAGGCTTATCCTTGTCTTCGCCTCGAAGGAGTAATTAAGAAAGATGAAGCGTCAAATCTGAGAGAACAGGGTAGGTCTGTTTTGTTGTCCAGTTAATTTCATAGTGGATGAAACTGTGGCTGGGCTTTGTTTTGGGCATTCCATAAATTAGAAGAGACAAATTTTATATTCTACATAGAACGGAATTCAGATGTCAGTAAAAGCCAGGTGGTTCTCAAATGCACTAGTAGAATGCTGAGCAATCAATGTATGATTATAGACCAGTCAACAAGGTGGAGTATGTATAATGATTCCATCAGTTTATGGAGATTTTCCTAAACTAGGTATAGAGAGGGTGCAGACAGATGGGCAAAAATGTACATCCTTACTGTGTAGCCTATAGCCATGTGCTTAGTTAAATTTATACAAACATTTAATTATGTTTGGAACCACAACAAAAAAATATGGCTTGTATTAGTAAACAGCCTTTGAGCTTGTTGAACTGCATCTCCCCCCAGCGCTAGCCATCATAGTCAATGGTTAGGTTTGCAATCTGACTTCTGAAACTTCACATGTTGTCCACTCTTACTGTAAATCTCTGTGATGTGGGGAAGGGAATATTTGCCTATTGGTTACCTTACTCTTTCTTGCTTGTTCTTTTCTCACTCTCAGTACAATTTATGTGTTGTCCTTAGGGAAACTGCAATACTACAAGGGAACTAGACTATAATATAGTGAAATTAGCTATTTCTGATCTATTTATTTATTTCATGGAGAATCTCCAAACTTGTTTGCCCAATGTACATTTTTTCTGGAAAAGGATAGCAATAGTATTTACATTTCTATACTGCCTAATAGTTAACTCAGTACTCTCTAAGTGATTTACAATCTGTAAGACAATTGCCCCCAACAAGTTGGGTACTCATTTTACCTGCCTGTGACAGCTGAGTCAACCTTGGAGCCCTGGGATCAAACTCACAATCTTGTGGCATTTAACCACTGCCCCACCAGGATGTAGATGTTACCCTTTCCACTCTTTGAATAGTTAGGTGTGGTGTATGCACAATAAAAAGTAATGTGCACTAGACTACCATTTTGTCACAATTGATTTTTTTTCAGTTACTTCAACCAAAGTGAAAAATTGAGAGTGGTGACATCAATTAAATAGTGTTTAAGGTGTCATACATGATGGAAGAAATTGTTATTTTGCTGTTGATTTTACTTTGGTAGGTCTGTTCTTTTCAGTAGTTATCTCTGCTTACATATTGTCTGGTTTTTGTCCTAACCTCATTTGTGATATTTAGGAAGCAATCAGTTCAAGATTTCAGTGCCAGGAGCCTATGAAAAGCAGGTGTACATCCCTTGCAAACCAGAATCTGATCAGAATTGTGGAGTTCCATTTGTCTTTCACATAGGCAAAGAGATGTGTTCAGAACTGAGTGTGGAATTGGAGAGAACGATTACTGTTCAGGTGACAAATCGTCATATTCACCCTTTTTGCAATAACTTATGAACCAGACTTCCTTATGAAATATTATCTGTTTATTTTTAGGATGGAGTGAGCCACGATGCTGAAGAGCATATTACAGTTCTTGGATCAGGGACTGTTCCATTTCATTCATTTCCTCTGGGAAAGGAAATTGACTTGACTGTTCCACTAGGAAAGGTAATACTTTGGTCTTCATTATAACACTCATTGATGGGCTGCAGTGGAAATTCTTTTTGTAAGGTTTTATGTTTCAGATAGTGACGTTCCTAAAATGTGATACAAATAAAAAGCAGGTGAAAATTCATTTGATGCAATATTGCAGGTGTCGGCAAGATTTTCAGACCTGGGGCCGGTCGCTGGTCCCCAGGTCTTCTGCCGGGCCGGGGGGGGGGGGGGAAATGGCGGCTTGTGCGTGCCACACACACACAGTACTCTGGAAGTACTGCGCATGCACGCGCACGCTTGCTTACGCATCGCAGTACTTCCGGAGTACTGCGCATGTGCGAGTGAGTTGCGGCCGCCAATTTGGCAAGCAAATAGGCGGCCGCAACTCGTTTGCGCATGCACAGTACTCGGCGCATGCGCAAATGAGTTGCGGCCGTCATTTCGAAAAACAAAATGGTGGCCGCGATGCACGCAGTGGCGGCAGGGGTTGGCGGCGGCTGGTCCAGAGGCCTTGGGGGGCCTCACCTGGCCCCCGGGCCGTAGGTTGCCGACCCCTGCAATATTGTTATGAGCTCTTTGTTTCATAAATTCTGATATCTGAATAGGATTTTAGGGTGAATCCCTGGAGCTTCTGTTGGGCTGACAAAATTAGGATTAGAGTTTAGTGGCTTCTGGCAGGCTTGGAGGAAGAGTGAAGGCAAAGCTCAAAGCAAGTTTTTTCTTTTTTTAAAAAAAAATCTAAGGTAACATCTTTATCTCTGCAACATTGTTCTATTTGGCTGAATGCTTCCACCAGTCATATAGTGTGGCAGCCCTATTGTCAAGTACCCTACCTAATCTGGAAACCTGTCTGATGGCTGTGTTTGGTTTAATAAGTCACATGTGTTGAAGGTCTGTCTTAACATATCCAGCTATTATATTTTTTTAGTTTGCCATACAGTATCACATGTGTACAGAACCACTGGCCATACTGGCTGGGGAATTCTGAGATTTGAGAATAAGCAAACAAACAAACTCTGTATGTATGTGCTTGCACATGCTCATATAATACATATAGGCAAATAAGCACAAAAATTCTCTAGGTCAGTTTACTAGCTTTCTTTTGGCATTTCTTAAGTTAAGCACCTAAGATAGGAAGATTTCCCATAGAGATGTATTCTAGGTTCCTACTGTTTTTTGCCTTCTTTTACTCTGTGGGTAAGACCCTGAAAA